GGGGGGAGGGAGAGGCTGGGGAGGGGTCAATGGGGGAAAAAGGAGACATATATAATACTTTAAACAATAAAGAATTTAAATTTAAAAAATCAATCAATTTTTTTTAAAAAAAGCAACTTGTTTCGTTCACATTGTTAGAAACTGGTACAACCTAGTGCCAAACCTGTTTCCCTGCTCCCAGCATCACTGTGCTCCCTCTATAGCCCACTCAGCAATCTTCAGTTAACCAAGTAACAGTGACACGAACAGTCCTTGAGAGTTTACTGTTGGGGAAGGACCTTATGTCATTTGCTACATATAAAGTAAATAAGTGAGTTAATAAAATTTACTTAGAAGGTATAAAAATGGGGTGTCCGGGAAGCTTTCTGTTCACTGAAATTGTTACATGTAAATCATGGCCATTAATTCTAATTAAAAGGAGAAATCATTCTACTTTTATGACAAAATTAGAAAAAATCAATGCAACAGTTTTTAAAAATTATATTTAATACAAGTGAATAGATGAGAAGATCTGAAATGTTATAAAGCAATGTACATAATGAATAAATAATCTGCACAGGAGAGTCATGTCTACATTACATAACACTGTCTAGAATGGGAATACTTAAAGTAAATCCAGTGGTAATGGAGAAAGTCCATAAAAATGCTAACCTGTCTTCCCTTGTATGAAATTGTTCAAGTATAAAAATCCAATACAGTGTAAAATAGTATTCAATTTAGCTTAAGAATAAAAATTGCAAGTATTGCAGTTTCAGAAGAAAAATGTAAAGCAGCATTTAAAAACTACATAAACTACATGAGAATAGTGTTAAATTAATGAAGTACCAATAAATGAGATCTACACTAGCAAAAATTAGAGAAGGAAGCATGAAACTAGCAATATAGCCTGTTTGTTAAAACCTAAAAACTAAAATGTGTTCATGTAAGAGTACTCTCTTATACAGTGCACATATGAATTTAAATAAATCCAAGTCAACATCTTCAGCTGAATAGGTTAATATTTAATATGCTACATCTAGACCTACTAAATAATTTATGCCATGAGATGAATACATAATTTTACAGTGTCACATCTAAAGTTCCTTCCTTTAGAGTGCAGCATAGTAAAACTTAAAAATAAATTATCTTAAATAGCATTACTATTAAGGCACAGTATAAACCACATTATCATTACCTCTGAAGAACTGTAATCTCAGTAACTTTGTTGTCTCATGTACTGTATTCACTAATAAATAGTTTTAAATAGGACTCTGAAATAGATACTAAAAAGTGTAAAATTATTCAAAAAGGGGAAAAAATAAATGCCCTTAAGACAATTCTTAAGGGTTTAGAGTCTGCAAACTTTGCCTGCCTTTAATCATAAGCCACAAGTCGACACAATAAATAGAAAGAGAAGGCTGTTGTAGTAAAAGCCTGATCCTATTTCAGAATCAGAATTGCTGACACCAGCAGATACAAGTTTCCCAAAATTGAAACAGGATGGGGAGAGGGATTAGAATGTGACAAGCTCATCAAACAAGCACAAGTGATGTGTTCTTTCCAGAACTGTGCGTGTTATTGATTGTCTGTACAGCTGTTGCACCCATTAATTCCACATCACTTGTTCCACAGTCCCACTCATCCACAGGATAGATGAGAAAATAGCTTTGGTGCCTGTCCACCATTTTACCCACTGCCACGCTCCCAGATTGATTGTTCGATGCCCATTTTTGAGAGAGTAAGAACATTACCTTCTTACTTGAAAAAGTCCTATAGGCCATAGCAACTTAAAAATGACAATCAGTGCTTTCACCATTTTGTTTTTCTAAAAAAAAAAAATCTGCTTTTAAATGAAATTCAAGCTATGTATTGCTCACTCTGTATTCCCTGGTTCAACAAGATTCAAATAGCATTTTCTAACTTGTAAAAGGCAGTTTGCTTCCCTGATACTATAAAAAGAGCAAAAATAAAAATCCCATTATAAAAGTGAAGTTCCATTGTTACTTCCGCCATCCTGTCCTAGCGGCCTTTCATTTCCTCAGGCTCTTTGGGATTGGTTTCCAAAACTGCGCCCGCTCCCCTCTCTCTCACCTCTTTCTCTTCTAGAACACTACTGGAGTATAAAAATAACAATAATTCTGCTTCACAAAGCATAGCTTTTTTTTTTTTTTTGTTGCTGTTAATTTAACTCTTAGGGAGAGAGAAAACAATTCAACTTTGATCAGATGGCTGGTCTATTGCATTCGGTCTGTTTGCAGCTGCTGAGGCTGATACTGGCCAAACGCTGCTGCGGCGGCAGCTGCTGCAGCGGCGGCGGCAGCTGTCCCAGGTGCCGCGGCGGTGATTGGCTGCTGCACAGCGTAGCCGTAGCCCCCGGCGGTGACGTATCCTGCAGCAGCTGGGGAGGCTGCGTAGGGGTACTGGTCATAGGCGGCGGCGGCGGCGGCAGCAGCAGCTGCGGCAGAGTATTGTGCATACGCAGCTCCAGTGTAATCAATGTAAGGTGTGGTGGAGGCAGCAGCTGCAGTCGGCTGGACGTGTGGAATGACCACTCCAGGCTGCACAAAAGCCTGTGGATACACATAGTGGGCAGGTATCCTGTTGACAAATGGAAAACAAAGTCAGGCGGTAGTTGCCCCCTATCTGTAGCACTGCTTGCTCAGAAATACGACAAACTCAAATTTAGTGGTTATTATGAGCATAGGGTTGCCACAATATCTGCTTTCCAGGGGGTCCGTGAAAGTCCTCTGGCGGTAGCCAAAGTCAGGGAGTGCCCCCAAAGGAATTCAGCTATCAAAATATGATGATACCCTCTCTGCTAACAGTTTTGTTTATAATCATTTAGGTCCAATAAATACCATTTAGCAAAAGTTTGGAAAATAAATCAAGGTTCACGAGGGCTATGCACATAAGAGGTATTTAATAAATGCTTAATTGATGAAGACTTGAGAAAACTGTAATGAGTTCACAAAACAAAACCGTTTGGCAAATAGAAAAATTCTGAGCTGTGAACACAGGACTCAAAAGGTGATCCATGACCATTCAGTTCCCAGGGGGTGATGGCTGGTTTGTCAAAACAAAAATTTCAACAAAATCTGTATGTTTATTATCATGGCAACCCTACTTCAAATTGCTATGCAGACTCAGCACACATTAATCTCTCTGCAACCTCAGTCACCCTTATTAAAAATAATAATAAAAAAGAAGCAGGCGACAAAATAAAAAAGGAGTTTAAAAGTTCACAGGTGTGGTAAACACAGCAGAATCACACTTCTCAAACGAACTGTAGTGCAGCTCACTCTATCACAAGAGGCTGTTGTGGGAAGCTACACAAATGCTATTAACATTCACGGCAGTGATCTGAAAGAGAGGTGCAGCACGCTTTTGTCTTTCTTTCTTTCTTTCTCTCCATAAAATTCATAAGGACACAAGGGTCAATCAAACCTGTTTGACTATCAGGCAACTGAAGGTCAGCCAGCTTGTTTATCTCTATGCAAGACAGACAGAAGGGATTTTGGGGAAATGATGAGGTTGAGGGAAAAGGCAGGGACAGGGAAATACAACTAAATATTTCCAAAATTAATAAAACTTAAAAGGTTTACACAATAGAGTAAGGAAACATTTTTTTGCATATGCACTAATTCTTGTTTTATCCTCCAAATCAACAGAAATAGATTTATTAGTATATCTGCTTTAATTCTGCCTGTAAGTAGATATTTTATATGACTCAATTCTACTGTTATATATTATCCTGCAAAAGTTCAAGAAAGTGAAACACAATCAAATGCCTTTTAAAATTATACATTCAGAGATCACATACATAACACACTCCAATGAATTTACTTAAACATTCATTAAAAAAATTAAATCACAAGAGGTATTCCTAAAAACCCATGCATCTCAGTTCTCACTCTTGGGATTCATTACTGTCCATTTAAAATACTACCATGAACATCTGGTTTATTTCAGCTTTCTTTAAAATAACCTCCAACAAAACCCCTTAACGTTTCTAAAAATATGACACTATAATGCCATCTGGATGCTGGCAAAGCCAACTTATAAGAAGTACAAATAACAATCTTCAAATTTTAAAGAACTCAAAACAGAAAAATTCATGTGTAGATGCTCAAAAACAGATTTTTCTTTGCCTTTTCAGAGTTTTACTGAAAACACTCATTAACGAACATCCATGGAAAAGATGAATTTATCACAGAGGGTACTGAACTTTGACCCCAATGATAAAAATACACCCAAATTTACTAGACTTGTAGATCTTTCCCAGTGCCAGGGGAAACCACGTCATCAAGGGTTTTTCAGGACACTCAGCGATGTGCTGAATTGCTTGTCAGAAACCAGACGCATGGTCATGCACACACTTAAAACGCCTCTGTAGGTCAGGTGATTGGTTCCTTCACAGCGACAGGTGTGGCTTTATAAAACACTGTCCCTGGAGGCCGCCAATGTGCGGATACGGCTAAGAGAGCCTACACTCATGCCAGTTTACATGTGGTGATGGACAGCAGGGGCTGCAGCCGGGCTATTTTTGATCCTGTCATGCGACAAGGGTTTCCAGTGGGTAAAATGTCTTTATAAGGCCAAAGTAAAACATCTATCAGCTGCAAAGGCCAGCCAGTATGAAGCTCACTGATATGGAAACATTAACCCCTGGACTCCCAAAGTTTTAAAGACAACATAACATGATGGTTGCTAGGTTTGTATCTTCAAGTAAAGGTATTAACTGAAAATAACTTTAGCCTACAGCAAGGAGGAGAAAATTGTGTGTGTGCCTCGGTATGAAGAATGCATTAAAAGATAAGCAGAGTTGCTTATAGGACTCTTGTCTCTACATTTATTTTACATTACTAGTTTTTATTTGCTAATGTACTTATGAGAGTACAAAGTTCCTTGGAATGTCAGAATCCTACATGAAGTCTGGTATGGGTTAGGAAGATGCTTGGAAGACAAATGAAATCCTGGAGTCCTTTAAGACTCAGAGAAAGGAGAATCCAGAAGACAAGGTAGAGTCTAAAATATCTGAGTTCAGGAAGGAAGGCAGAAATGGACTAAAACAAGGTGAGACTTCTGAAAAAAGTCCCTGTATTACGAGTTCTTTTCATAGTCTAGGGAACCCAGTAAGGCAATTTGAGAATCTCCCTCCTACTAAATATCTATCAACATACTTTCCCTCAACTAATCATAGAATGTACAAACCTAGCAGTTACAAAAGCATGAGAACATACAGATACTTCGGGCAACTTTGAAAGAAATTTTACTATGCTTTCCTTTTCTTCCTATCTCTTCAGGCCCCTCTGTGACCTTTGACATCCCAATTGGTTTCCTCTTCCAAACTATCACAAAACTACAAAGTCTTCATCTCATTTGCTTGCTCTAGTAATCTATGGCCCCTCACATCATTCCTAAGCACAAATTTCTTAAACTTTGGTATGCTAGACCTTTAATAATTCTGGCTCTAACATACTTCTCTCAGGATTACTTTCTACCTTCCCCTTAACCCAAATCAGCTGGACTCCTCAATGTTTCCGCACAATACCACACATTCTTAGGTCCTCACCTTTGTTCATGCCATCCTTTTGCCAGCGATGCCAATCCTCACTCCATCTCTACTGGTTGAAATCCAAATCCGACCTGCCCTACCTCCTACACTCACTCCGTGAAGAGCAGTGGTTCTCAACCTTCCTAATGCCGCGACCCTTTAATACAGTTCCTCATGTTGTGGTGACCCCCAACCATAAAATTATTTTCATTGCTACTTCATAACTGTAATTTTGCTACTGTTATGAATCATAATGTAAGTATCTGATATGCAGGATGTATTTTCATTGTTACAAATTGAACGTAATTAAAGCATAGTGATTAATCACAAAAACAATATGTAATTATATATGTGTTTTCTGATGGTCTTAGGCGACCCCTGTGAAAGGGTTGTTCGACCCCCAAAGGGGTTGTGACCCATAGGTTGAGAACCGCTGGTGTAGAGTCTTCAGGAATTCACTTCAACCTTTTAATCTCATATATTTACTATATGTGAAATAAACCCAATATTTCCAACTCGAATTGCTGTACATTAAATAAAATTATGTAAAGAGCCTACAATGATGAAGATAGCTAAGTACTCAATAAGAGTTCCTTATCATCCACCACCCTTTAAAATTTAGGTCAACTTCTACCTCCTTTCTGGATCCCACCAACCTGATGTCTCCCTCCCTTATCTGAAGATGCAGGACCAGCCATTATGGGTGCATGTAAGTTTTCTTACTAGATTACAAGAGAGAATAAAGTTGGGTCTTATTGTCTACAACTTGATACAGAAGAAAGAACATAGCTTTTGAAAGGTCGGGAAAACCATGATTATGAACCTAGAGTCAGACTCTACCACTTGCTAGCCCTGGTAAGTTAATTCACCTCTCTCCATCTCAGTTTTATCACCCAATGGGAAGGCCATTAACAGTGCCTTCATCAAATAATTATTGTGAGAATTAAATTATATAATTTATTTAAATCCCTTATCAGTACTAGGCATGTAGCAGATGTTCAGTTAATGTTAGTTATTGTCCCTCGTGCCCCATTTAGTGGACAATATAATACCCAGTATGGTGTTAACACAACTAGCCTAAAATTTAGCGCTTAGAGGTATATTGAATAAATGTTTAAGTATATTTCAGCCTGACTAAACTAGCCTAGACATTTCTGCTCATAGAACTGCATTCTCTCTTCTCCAAGGTTTCAATAAGAAAATGCTTCTTTCAAACATAAAATATTTATAACATATTGTTCAGAAAATTCACAAGTTTCTATACATGTACCCACTGTGTTACATCAGAAATTCTTTAGGCCAAGGTTTTCTCTTTAAAGGCCCAGAGTAATTTGGGGGCCATTTAAGAATTACAATTAGGAAGAAATAGTTCAGTTACTAGAACTTCAAATAAGTCAAATAAAATAAGAAATTCGCAAGCTTCTTTCCAGGCCTAAAATAAGAATGTGTAGCATTCAAATAGAATTCAGGATGACCAGGTGTGATTTGTTAGGTACAGACTCTGGGACTCAGAGCAGTGTTGAGAACCCCTTAAAAAAGAAAGAGAAGGCTGGCTTGGTTCATCTGGAATGCTATCTATTTTTAATAAGAATCTCAAGTTCAAACAATTTATGCAAACAGTAATAATCACCATCCTTTATAAAAGACAGCTAATATTAAAAGAGATGAAAAACAAAAGGTTACTATCAAAACATGCTTGATCTCAGACTTCCAGGTGACACAATTCACTCTGGTTGCTCCTAGATCCCTCATGCTGCTTTCTTGAAGAACTAGAAGGACTCTGACAACCAGTCTAGATTTCTATGGCTAATTCTCAAGACCCTCCATAAACATTCTTCATGCTGGGCCTTTTCTCTGTGCCTTTGCTTATGCTCACCTCATCCTATACCCTTGAGACATGTCCATTCTTCCTTTTACCTGTCTAGGATATAGCTATTGGTTCAAGTCTAGTTCTAGTTCAAGTCCCCACAAAGACTAGTTCAACTCCTCCAATCACCTATTTTCTTGCTATTCTGAATTCCTTTTGTACTGAAAACAATACCAAGTATCTTAGCAACCAAGTTTCCGATTGGTTTGTTTGAGTTCTCAAACTAAAGTACAATGTCCTTATTTCATACCACCCTTAGCACAGAGAAAAATAAACACATACTAATACATGTTGATCAATTCAGTTGTATAACTGTTTCAAGATTATTAGTGTGAGATCATGACTAAGTTCACCATCACTTCCTAAGATGTATGTTTTCCTTCCAGTCCCTCCTTTAACATAGTCTAGACCAGTAGTTCTTAACCTTCCTAATGCCGCGACCCTTTAATACAGTTCTTCATGTTGTGGTGACCCCCAACCATAAAATTATTTTCGTTGCTACTTCATAACTATAATTTTGCTACTGTTATGAATCATAATGTAAATATCTGATATGCAGGATGTATTTAGGCGACCCCTAT